CTTTTATTATATTTTTTTACTAAAAAGTTTTTAATTCTCCAGTTTATATAGGGGCTTATGGTAGTATATATATAGCTACGTAGTCAGTTTTTTGTTGTCAACAAATTGGCATAAACCAGTAATCAAACGTTTTTGATCTTATCAATGTGTGCCAAATAAAATTTAAGAAAATATAACAGGACTACCCCAAAGTATAATAATGTGATAATACGTAAATTATTAAGTTACGATACATTTCTTTGTTTAGAATCTATTTCATAGTATACTGCATCTTGTACATATATACATATCTTACGAAGTTACCATAATTTTTGTTATTTTATTTTCCACTGTACTTATTTTTACATGTGTTTTCTTTTTTACAATTAGAAAAAGTGCAGCACGGTATTTGTTCTGCAACACATAAGCAGATTTTTCTACTGCATACTTTACAAGAACAAGGTTGTAATAATTCTTCGTAAGGTGGAATTAAAGTTTCAATTTTTCGTGGCACAAGGAGATCGTCACACTCTATGTAACCAAACTCTTTCATATCTAATTTTTTAACTTCAACATTCAAACATTTAATTTGATAATATACTACGAAACATGCTCTTAAAATGTGCAAATTGATAGAATTAGTGGTTGGAGGTAGATCTTCAATTAAGCACTGTTTTTAATGATGATAAGACCATACATGCAATTCATCAAAGCTATTGCATTTTGAATTTTTATTAACAACACGTACCAAATACTCTTCAGCCTTGGTAATACTTTCATTCAAATTTGACTCAGAGTAATCTGAAAAATATAGTAATATAAAAATAACACCGAATACTGTTATCGTTAGAATATCGTCAAAATTTTTATGAAAATCGATAAGCTCTATCTTCTGATGTTATTTCTCTACTTAGAGTTAAAAAGCATGAAGCTGCTAAGTTCACTGAACAAAAATAACAAACAAATAAAATTAATCAACTGTAAGACATTCTTAAACCCCTGCATGAACTGGAGAATTAAAAACTTTTTAGTAAACAACTATAATAAAAGCCCCACGTTGCAGCTGTGTGAAAAACGGCAAATGTAAATTTTTTACAGTTCACGTTTTTTTGCGGAAATAGTATGGGCTTAACAGATGTACATTATACAAAACTTTTTGTTTAAAATAAGCTCGAGAAGCGGTAAAAACATTATTTTTAGAAAAAATTACATTTTTGCAATTTGTTTATGAAATTTGTTAATAAAAAAACATTGATCACCTTCGATATTACGACCCACCATCAATAATCATGTTCAGCAGGCAAAAATACATAAAAAACAATCTATGTATGGCTGTCCAGATAACAAACATTTAATGCCAGAATATATTGTATTGCGCCGAGGCCGTACGGTCACATTAAAAAGGCACAGACCGTCAAGCTCGCTGGATAAGAACAACCAAATAAAATCAATTGGTCTTTACGTATTCTTCAAATACTATGTTTGGCTCACAATTTGAGAGGTGTTGAGTTGAAAAATATTAATCGGGCTTTAAGTAGCAAGCTATTGAAAATAGCAAAAAACGCATTTTTTGAAAGTTGTCGAATTTTTTACGGGAAAAGTATTGGGTTTAGGCATATGGTGTATTTAAACTTTTTTGTTCAAAATGAGCTAAAGAATAGGAAAAAATTTTTTTTTTCCAAAAAAATGAATAATTTTTATTTGTTTATAAAATTTGTTGATAAAAAAAAATTGTCCATCCGGATCGCGACCCACCATCGATAATCGTGTTCAGCAGGCAAAAATACATTAAAAAAACTTTGGTGGGACCGTTCTAATTGAAAAGGCCACGGGACCCTACCTGGAGCCTAAACTATTATTTCTAAAGAGTTATCGTGCATTTTTTGAAATTTGTCTATAGCAGCTTGCTCGTAAATCTTTCCATGCTCTGTAGCTTTTGAATAAAATGGTACAGGATTCATAATCTTCTGAACTAATGATTTGGCACCTTCTGAATTTTGGTATTTGTTGCAACACGAGGCTGTTAATCTAACGCTCCGCTGAAATTCCCATGCTTTACTGCTACTTTGCTTTTTTGTATCCAATTCTATTTTATCAATAATCTCATCTTGAGATACATTAAGCACATTCAGTGATTCTAAGATGCGATTCACATTAGATTTTTTGGAATAAAAAGAGTGATCCCATTCTACAGCACATGTGTTAGCTGGTTCCACTATC